TGGTGCAGATAAAAACCAAAGAATTATTAGATTTTGATGTTCAAAAATGTTAAAAAATGAGCCATATTAAAGTGAATCAACTTGCCTGTAATTTTGATGTTATCACTCTCGTCTAGTAGAATATTTTCACATTTTAAATCCCTAGAGAAAAAATAAGGATAACAGCCAGATTGCATTTGATTTGATCTGGGTAGTAGTATAAAAGTAGACCTGATGTTAGTACCATTATTTCTGAACCATTATTTAAGAAACTTAATCTCTTAAAATTTTATAACATTCACAAAGTCCAAATTGCTTCATTTATGTATCAATATGACCAAAACAAACTTTGCCCAACAATGTTCCATCTATTGCCTTGCATTAGTGCAGCTATTGCTTTGCAGGAGAACGGTGCAATGATCTTGGTTCCTCTGATAATGTTTTTTTTTGAATGGTTTTTTTTTTTTGGGGGGGGGGGGGTTTATTCATGGTTAGTTAGAATAGATCAATGGTTTAGTTTTCTTTTTTTGCTTTCTGTTGTATCAGCGCATAGAGACCCCGGTGTTATGCGCTATATAAATCTCATAATCTCATAACCTCATAATCCACATAATTTACGTAACAATACCGGTGAAAAGTATACCGTAAAACCTCGAATTGACGCCCAATGGGCTTAATCTCTAGAAGGAGCCCATCTCGAATTGAAGTCCCCTCCCCCTATCCTCCACTCGATATAGTGCAGAACATAAACTGTACATGAATTTCAAATATCAAAATAAATTCAAAAACGCTTGGTTTATACAGTGATTTAATGCCGGTGATACAGACTGGTGTTACGGTGGTCTTATTTATTGTTTTATAGTACAAATCCCCAAAATTTACAGCATTCATTTTGAAAAGAAGCCCCCTGTTTACTTCGCAAAATTAGCCTCGAAAAGAAACCCATCCGAAGTTCGCAAAAACAAGGGCTTCAATTCGAGGTTTTACCGTATTCCCTTTACTCGTCTATGAAGCTCTAACTATTTGTTTACAGTTTCAGGACCTCGTTTTTGGAACGATGTGTCTTTTTCGTCTTTCCGTAGGAAACTTAAGCTTAATTTCATATTATTATTTAAAAATCAGCATTGGATGTGGGCATCAGAGGTCGTGCCTGGAAATTAATTGATTTATTATATAAAGATGTAAAAGGAAAGGTAAATTTAGGGATATGACGGATGAATTTAAAATACACCAGGGGGTCAAACAGGGCTGTGTTTTGTCGCCAATATTATTCTGTATTTTCATTAATGAATTTACCAAGCTACTTAGATCCCATGATATTGGTGTACATATAAATAACAACTGGCATATGGAGCCGTATTCTGGGCGGATGATGTAGTCTTACTGGCAGAAGATGAGCGCCAGTTGGTTAGAATGCTTGAGATTGCTACTAAATTTGCAAAACAATGGAAATTGAACTTTAATTATGAGAAACGTAAACGTGTAAATAAAAACGAAGTTTGGAAATTAGGTGATTACAGCATAAATGAAAGAGATACATATAAGTACCTTGGTGTACTTATCTCAAGAAATATGAATGATCATAATCATGTAGAATATGTAATTAAAAAAGGAAATCGTCTTATCGGTTATATAAAATAAATTATCAATAATCTAAATAATTTTAATAGAGTATACTATGGTAACATCCTGTGGCGAACGATCGCACTTCCATCTATCAATTACGCAGGTGCGGTGTGGGTAAACGGAAGCAAAAGTGATCTTGAAAAAATTGAAAGGCTGCAAATGCAAACGGCGATGTGTATTCTAAAGGCTCCAAGAAACACACCCCGTTCTACCTTTTACGGAGACCTCGGATGGTCCCCCATCATCGACTCCCAGAACATCTTCAGACTAAATTATATCGATCGTATTATGAAAATGGAAGAAGATCGTTGGCCAAAGCTGTTACTTAAAGCCCTAACTGCATCTGAAAATATCAATAACTTGAGTTATAAATTACTTGGTTGTGTCGATAATATATTTCAGAAATGTAACATTGAGAGTATTTTCCATTATATTAAAGATAATCGAGATATACCCAATCCTATATGGGCAGCTGAAATAAAACATGCTATAAATCAAAATTCGTTAAATTGCTGGAAGGATGATATTAAAAGCAAACCTTCTAATTGTAAAATATTCATTAATTAAAACGTCACGAAGTATGGAGGAGTACCTTCTTGACGGTACTGATTTTGAAGGAGCATCAATAAAATTTAAGCTCCGTTCAAATACCCTCCTCTCCAACAGCGAACTAAAAAATGGTCTAATGATCAGAGTGACACTGGATTTTGTAAGGTGTGCAATGATAATTCCATTGAAGACATGGATAATTTTCTGCTTGTATTAGAAGGATGGAAATATTACACTTTAAAAATAATCTCCAATCACTAAACTTTCACCACGTTTGGGATAAATTTAACTCTTTACATATTACAGAAAAGGTATGTTTTATTCTTGGCAATGAAAATGAATTATATAAAAAGTAAATTATTGTGGAAATGGATAAATTTAGCAAATCATTGTCTAAAAACCTGTGGAAAGAAAGGTCATTATTATTGCATGCCTCTACCTCATAAGTAATCTTTTGTGTTGTTGTGTTTTGATTTTCTTTTTTCTTTTTTATGTGCTTATCTGTATCTTAATAACGTAATAATTTGTTAACTTTAAAAATAGTATTACTACAGTAATGTTGTTTTTTATTTAGTGGATTTTGCTTCAAAACCAATACAGTACTGAATACTGTTATTGTATAATTGTTTTGTATAACTTTTAGTTTCTTTTTGTTTAGTTGTTTTTCTTTCTCATTGAACGCACCGAAATGTTGTGTGCCACTGAAACAAAAGTGTATGTTCAGTTGAATAAATAAATAAATAAATATTCAAGTGCGTCATAATAATAGTTAAAAATATTTTGATCGAAGTAGTGCTTATGTTATAATTTGTTATTAGTTTATTATTCTATTTATTTATTTACTTATTTTTAATTTATTTATTTAATTATTTATTCACATATTCTTTTTATTTATTTTATTTCATTGATTTATTAAGGTGTGCGTAGGCCTAGGTATCATGTATGCTTACAATGTGTGTGTTTATAGGTCGAACATGACAAGAACTGGTTTTTTTTTTCTTCTTGTTTGACCTTTATTACAGTCCCCTTATTATTCTATATTCTTGTTTATTCTTGTTCTATTATTCAATTGAGGAAAATCGAAAATAAGATTGCTTTTAAATTTTGAAGTAGCAGGATCATGTTTTTTGTTGATAACAAGCAGAGAGAATGGCTATCTATCTATCTATCTATCTATCTATCTATCTATCTATCTGTCTGTCTGTCGGTGTGTCTGTCTGTCTGTCGTTCTGTCTGTCTGTCTGTCTGTCTATCTATCTATCTTGTGGTAGTACTGTGTTTTCGTTTCATTGTCGGCCGAGATCCCCCTAAATTTGTCTAAATTATTTTAAAAAATGGAGAAAAAAAGAAATAGTTGACATAATCATAAACTTTCTTACTTTTGAGCACCCCAATCCCCCTCCCCCACTCTATTTCCGCCACCGCAGATCTTCCAGAATGGACTTTTCCTACTTTGGACCCCTGGAAAACCTACCTGTGAACAACATTAAGGTTGTGACAGTGTGCTACGCCAGCGATTATTTGCTTGAAAAGGTGTCTAGCTCTGTCTTCCTTTATCCCACATCCATTCTGCAGTACGCATTCGTTTATGTACGATAAGATATCACCATTTGGGGCATACTCCACCACCAGGTAGATACGAATGTCTGTCCGAAACACTTCATACAACTGGACCTGAAATTAAATTGATAATTCGGTGCGGTGGCTCTAGTGAATTCCAGTGGGAGTCTGGGGGAGCAATTCGCCACCTCCCCACCACCCCGTCGGGAGAGTGTGACTGTGCTATTGCCAAGAGCCTTTAGGTGCCATATTCTAACAACATTAAACCTTCGTCACAACCGAACCATGTTAGGGCTGAGGTTGGAACCCTGCGGCTTCATATCAGTCACTACGCATTTTGCTGGCCTCTGATAACTAAATTGTAATCGGTGCGTGTTAAAATCTAATAAATCCAGTGGCAACAAATTTTTATGAAAAATAAATATTTATCTGTATGTACCACTTCAATACTAACCGCAAATCAAAGCAATTCCTACATTATACTTCAAGTTGGGACTTCCACCCAACCCATCCTGCGCCCTGGTACAACTTCATATGCGCTCTACCCCTAGACCTGGTTGTGAGCACGTATTATATATATTGCTTCTCCTACTTTTTGTTTGTAAATTTAAGCAGGGAACAGTGAATTTTCACTGTTCCCTGATTTAAGGAAGAAGAATCTAACGACGAAATATCGAAGTTATTAAATCATAATATGTCACATGTGAAAGGCAACTGAACTTACGAGGTTTGGGTGTTTGTAGGTGACCTTTAAGGCGTCCACTTCTCGAGGCATGAACTTATTAATGTACTCAGATGGAGCTTCCTTCTTCGAAATAATTTTTATCGCAACCTATGAAGGGGTTTATTATAATTTTAGTTAAGTGCATTTAGTGATGGCGTAAATAATACTTTTACTTTACTCCCTTTCTTTATGGATAATTGACAATTCTATACATCGATCATCAATAGTCGACGTATTCTTATCTTATTCTTAGCATCTAGTTTTCTTTGGTTTGAATTCATATATGAATTAACACTAGGCCTAGCCTGTATGACCGGTAGCAGTAAGTAGTAGGCCTTACTTAGGCCTACATACAATAATAATCTTACCAAATTGTGCCCCTTATCTTTCAAATCAGTTCTTAGCCGCTCATATCGCTCGAGTTTCTTTTCTACCACTCGTGCCAGCTTTACCTTTGCGTATGCGCCAGTTCCTAACGTCGTTTCGGTAAGTACATACCCATGTCTCTTACAATCTGCCGTTTCGATTGCAATGTACTGCTGCTTAGTTTTGACGTAGCTAAATTGCTGCCGGTTCCCTGTTTGTTTCCCGGTCATTTGCAGTTAAATACAATAATTGTATAGGCCTACGGTTCTTTTATTTAATTATTCATCTTTGCTGCAATTGAGACTGAAGTCTGTATAATAGGCCATTTTT